CCATAAATAAAGTCAGAACCAAAGTTTAATGAAAGAAAGTAAGCATTATAATTCATTTGGCCATTTTGGACTCAAGGGGAAGGGCACGTGCCTTGAGGTGGGAGTTCGGTGTTAGTCTGTATTTTCAATCTTGTCTAATTTAACCCTCTTTTTTAAAACCAGTGAAACAAGTTGTCCATCTGAGGATTATTACAGTCTTTAAAACTAATTCTACCTGATTAGCAAATTGGTCAGTAAGTCATTTTAAAACTGTGTGTTTACATTTACCAGCACAAATACCTCCAAGTAGACAGGAAGGATGAACTTGCTGTGGAGCAGCTTACAACTAACTGCTGAATTTGAAATTCAGCCATAAACTTCATTTGTAATAGCAGTTAACTAACTGAACCTGTCTGGAGTGTCTTTTCAGCCTTAAATTTAGGCAACATTTTGTGTGAGTAGAATTTTATTTCCTCTTATACCACGTTAATTGCAATAGTAAGCAGTTCTATTGAGCTACTTCCTATTTTGAGTTCTTTTCCTCATCATCATCTTAACCTACTCAGGTGCTGAGTAGGTTTCTTTCTACCTTTCTTTTTGAACCTAATAATTCTGTATTCACTTTTTCCAGTACGTTAGGGTCAAAAAGAGGGTTAAGTAGTGGAGCAATATACAAGTGATGTGATCTTGACTTATTCTGATTGCCTGACTTCTGATCTGAGATTTTTTTGTGTGAAGTGTGTAGTTTTTGATGAAATAATCTCATTTGTTTTGAAGTTCATTTTTTATTAGTTTTTTTTCACTTATTCATGTTTTTAAAATGACTTATTTAAAATAACTGTGACTCTTAACTGAGGCATAGTTTTGAGTGAAGGAGATATAAGAGTGAATGAAACAGAGATGGTTCTATTCCTTCATGGTGCACATAGTTTTCCTGTGAAAAGGATAATCAAGATTGATTTTGGGGTGTGACGGGTATTAGAAGGGAAAATGCAATGTGTAATGAGCATATACTGTAATACTGGATCCGTATGTTGCTTTTGGGTACACAGAAAAGTAACACATAAGCTGAGAAAGAGGGTAGTAGTCAGGAGTGTGTGTGTGTGTGTGTGTGCGTATGTGTGTTGGAGGAAGACATTAAAAGCTGTGACTCAAATGCATAGTTTTAAATCATGCTAATTTGAAGTGTTTTATTTATCCCCTTACATATTTTAATGAATTTGGAAAAATAAATGTTTTTTTTGAGGGCAATAGCTTTATGTCTAGAAAAAGTGTTAAATGACAAGGCCTCATTTCATTGTGGGGAAAATGTCATGTCTTAAAACAATTTTTATGGATTGCATGTCAGCCACAGAGTATGAATTGGCAAAGAATGTCTGTTAGGAAAAAATTGAAGTTATTGTAAAACATTTAATCATATACAAATATTTTCTGGGTTTCTGGGAAACTTTTCCCAGTCATTCAACTTTCCAGTGTAAACTAATAGAGATTTTTATTTACAATGTTAAGTTTCTTTTTCAAGAGGGTTTTAGAAAAAATTTAATACTGATTAGTTTTAAGTTCATCTTGAACTTGAAACCTTGATTTAGCAACATGTTTTCTACTAGGCCTCTGTGTCACTGTTCAACGGATAAATCAAGGATTGATATTTAAAACTTGATTCGCGGGATTTAAGAGGAATTGTGAAATACTTCATAGGGACATATTTAATTTGATAATCGCTATCTTGATTAGAGGATGTCTCTGGCAGTTTTAAATTCTAATGCTGAAGTTTCTATTCTCTGAATATGCTAGGTGTTCTCTATTGCAATTTTTTTGATTTATGTCATATATTTACTTTAATTGTAAAATGTAATTAGATTTCTTTGTATAACTATTTTGAGAATTAATAAATTTACAGTCCATGTTTACAATGAACATTTGTAACTATAAATCTCTAAAAAAAATAATTCAAGATGTTTATTGTCAATACAATCTACTGTTATAATTAAAAGAACTAAAAAGACTGTCTTCACCACAGGAGTGATTAAGTGTTGGAATAAATTGTAAGCAAAGTTGTGTAATCTCCATTACTCAAATAACATCTTAAAATTGGATTACCAGTTACTGAATAACTCCCTTATTTTCTTAAATTTTTAGAAGTAAATATGTTATTGTCCATGTGTGTTGATCAAATATAGATTTAAATTCAATCTCAAACACCAAGTAGGTAGATGACTATAGGCAAGTCCTGTAGTCCAAGTGAACCTTGATTTCCTTTCAGTTCAGATCAGAGACATGTGTAAGGGGTAAAGTAAGCACATGCTGGGTGTTCCCTTCTCCTCCTCTCTGTCTCCTTCACTAGACAATGCGTATTGTGGGCTCACTATTGTGAGTGCTTTTTAAAAACTTCTAATTGAGATGGAAATACTGTAGGAGAGGCAATTTTGATGTTTGTCAATCTTTTTCTAACTTTTAAAGTTACTAGTTTGAGTTTATTTAACTCAGTTATTTGTAGCAGTTCCTGTTTTACACACTTTTGAATTAAGTGATGCTTTTGAGAGGTGTTTTGCCTGATGTGACCAGATGATATGCATGTAATAAAAAGTATCCTGCAAGTTCTAGGCACAATAGTCACTTCTCTTGGGACTGTCTATATTTTGAGGTTTCTGTTGGGACTGTCTATATTTTGAGGTTTCTGAAAGTTTATAACTTTCAAGCATGTGAATTGAATTCAGTATAGTTGTTGCAAAATAGGAAAACTACAACTGTTTTCACAATCTGATCACTCAGTGATATGTCATAATTCTTAAGTTTTCTCTTTGAATATCTGCTTAACAGAAATGTTTCTCATAATGTATCTGTGACTCCTGTTATGACTCTTAGCTTGTCTATGAACACTGTAGGTTCTGTCTTAACCTATATGTTTTTTTTCAAGTGTAAACCCCAACACAATGTACCCACATGATTTTGAGGGTTTTTTTTTGAGGGGGGAGGGTAGTATTTCCTCGTTACATGGAAATTGTGCAGATGGCTCTGGAAGACCTTCCATTTAAGTAGCCTTATTGTCAAGTATTTCATTTAGAAGTCTGGACCTTCTTCTTTTCAGCTTATGTCATCTGCATTCACTGAGCAGAGCTTGTTTTGCTCCGTTGGGACGCAGTCTGCTCCAGCTCAGGGTTATTCTTTCTGTCCTGACTGACACCCAGGTTGAACAAAGCCAGACGCATGACATGCAGCCAGTACCTCCCTCCAGTAAATACAGAGAGGGTGATCAAGCTAAGATGTGTCTTGGCCTGACTGGAGGTCTGGCAGAGTATGGCTTCAGGAGAGGTTTGGACCAAGGAGGAGAGGAGAAGAAATATGCGAAACCCAGGACTAAGTCTCTGCCTAACCTATGCAGCTAGTGGGGATTAACAGTCAAAAATATTTAACCCACAATTTAAAAGTACAGGTTTGTGTTAAATGTGTGCCTTATTTCCACCCATATGGCATCGTTATACACAACATCAAATCAGAACTTTTCTACTTAAAAAACAAATGCAGAGATTTTTTTGCTCTGTTTTGAGAAAATAAAGCCTGGACTGTAGAAAAATAAAGGATGGTTTGGAGAGTGATTAACTATTTTGGCCTCCTGGAATCAAAATAAAATTTAACAATGTTTTATACACAGAAGTAAAGAAACAGTGTAATAATCAACATCTTGTCCACAAAGTTGTCAACAGCAATATCATTTAATTTGGGAAATCTTGTGATGAGTGGCCTGTGTCATGTACAAGGACAAACATAACCTAAAGAGAGACCTTGAGATGGGAGATTTGAGCAGGAAGTATAGATGAGCATATGGGTAGTAATGGAAGCCCTTGAAAAATGGAGAGTTCATCAGGAGAATATGCAGAATAAGCAAGGGATGACATAGCTCTAAAGGAGGGTAATATTTTGGAAGGAAAGATTGAGAGGTGTGAGGGCTGGGGGCTGGGGTATGTGTGCAATGTGACATCATGAAAATGAAGGAAAGCTAACCCAGAAGAAGAGATTAGTCAACAAAATGATTCAGTGGTGGAGGAAGATAGGGCATGGAAAGAATGACATTTGGACTTAGTGTGGGTGAGAATAGAGCAGTTTTAATGAGTGATAGTAAAAGTAAAACTGGACTCGAGGGCTGAAGAGCTTATGGAGACTAGTAGGACTCCTTTTTTTTAAACCCCTTTGGAACATTGACTGTCATATTGATCACAAAACAATCATGGTTACATTTTTATTTACTTCTGACCACCAGCTGTAGCTCCTTGAGGGGAGAGGCTGTGTCTTACTAATCATATTGTCAAAACAAACATAGTGTCTGGTACACAGTAATTAAGCAGTAAATAGGAGTTTAATGAGCAAATGGAGACTACAGTCTTCTCAAGTAAGGGATTTATCCACAATCGCAGAGAGAAAGAGAGAGAACTACAACATATTTTCTGAGTAAATTCCCTGTATGTTTTAACTAAAGGTTTACTTACTGATTTCTTGTAGAACTATTACGACATGTTGAAGAAGAGACAAATATTTATAATTGAAATCTTAAGTAAATTCATATACTTAGAGGGAATATATAGTAAAACTTCTAATAAAGTTTTGGTTATGAAATTTAGGTTATTCTCTTACCGGTATGATTTTCTGCAATGTGGGTTATAATCGACCAGTTTAGTTGAAATTTAAAAGGTGAAAATTACAGCTTAATACTGAGTTTATACAATCTAATAACATAAAAATGGTCTGTTTTGTAATTTTTGCTCTCTTAAGCATAATTACGTGTTGCATAAAAATACACCTTTATCACATTTTAAAGTATTGACTTGTTTTTTGAATGGAAGTACTTAAGTTCTGAACTTTTCAAAATGTATTCAATATCTATAAAATATACTAGTTAAGTATACTTATGTTTTTAACACTGATATAAAGTGATATATATTCAGTATATAATTTCAGTTATTCAATAATGTGTAAGAATCAGCCACTTCTTGCCTAACTTCTTTTTTCCATCTCAACCAGATCCGGCCTGTTCGTTATGGAGGAGGAGCTGCAGCATTCACACTGTGTGAACTGTGTCAGCAGACGGTGCATGAGCAGGCCAGAGCCTGGTGTCTCCTGTGACTTGATTGGTTGTCCACTGGTTTGTGGAGCAGTTTTCCATTCTTGTAAAGCTGATGAGCACCGCCTTTTATGTCCCTTTGAACGAGTGCCTTGCTTAAACAGTAACTTTGGATGTCCATTTACAATGGCTCGAAATAAAGTCGCTGAACATCTAGAAATGTGTCCTGCAAGTGTGGTATGCTGTACTATGGAGTGGAATCGATGGCCAGTTAGTTATGCAGATCGGAAATCATATGAAAATCTAAGCAGAGATGTGGATGAAGTGGCACAATTAGATATGGCCTTGGCCCTTCAAGACCAAAGGATGCTCTTAGAATCTCTCAAAGTAGCCACTATGATGTCAAAAGCTACTGATAAAGTATCAGAACCTAGAGAGCAAATCTCAGTAAAATCAAGTGTCCCAGAAATGCCACATGCTAATGGATTGGTGTCCGTTGACGAAGAATCTTATGGTGCACTTTATCAAGCCACAGTGGAAACAACCAGAAGTTTGGCTGCTGCTTTAGATATCTTGAATACTGCCACAAGAGACATTGGCTTGTTAAATGCAAATCTCGGTGCTTCCACAAATGAAATGAATGAAGAGGAGAATGCTAGAGAAAGAAACTCAAAAGACCAAGACCATCTTTATGCAGATGAAATAGGAGCAATAGGTGGAGTTGACTGTCATGACATCAGTCAGAATGCCCAGTCTGAACAAAATGGTTCAAGTGATTTATTATGTGACTTGAATATCAGTTCTTGTGGAACTTCTACTCTTTGTAATGGCTTTCCTTTGGAAAGTATATGTACAGAGGTCTTAGAACAGAATCAGAACTTACTTGGTGATTCAAAACAAAGTAACTTAACAAATGGAGAATGCGTAGCATCAGATGGCATTTCAGAACCTTCCAGTTCACTTTCAGTTGCAGCACAACTTAGGGAAGTAATACCATCTAATGCTTTGCCTAATGGTACAGTTCAGCATATACTCATGCCAGATGATGAGGATGAAGGAGAAGTGTATTGTAGAAAAGTAGACTTAGGGGACTTGAGGAATGTGGAAGTCTTATCTTTCAATCATATCCCTTCATTCAAATTTCTTACTAATTCATGTTGGTCTAAACCAAAGGAAGATAAAGCAGTAGATACATCGGATTTGGAAGTTGCTGAAGATCCAATGGGGCTCCAAGGAATAGATCTCATCACAGCAGCATTATTGTTTTGTTTAGGAGACTCTCCAGGTGGGAGAGGTATATCTGATAGTCGCATGGTTGATGTTTATCACATTGACTTTGGGACTCAAACTTTTTCGCTTCCATCAGCAATATTAGCTACAAATACAATGGTTGGGGAAATAGCTTCAGCTTCTGCTTGTGATCATGCCAACCCACAACTTTCAAATCCAAGTCCTTTTCAGACACTTGGGCTGGATTTAGTATTGGAATGTGTCGCTAGGTACCAACCCAAGCAACGCTCAATGTTTACATTTGTTTGTGGACAGTTATTTAGAAGAAAAGAATTTTCTTCACATTTTAAGAATGTGCATGGTGACATTCATGCTGGACTCAATGGCTGGATGGAACAGAGATGTCCTTTAGCATATTATGGTTGTACCTATTCTCAGCGTAGATTTTGTCCATCAACACAAGGAGCAAAAATTATACATGACCGCCATTTGAGATCATTTGGCGTTCAGCCATCCGTATCTACAGTATTAGTGGAACCTGCTAGAAACTGTGTCTTGGGATTACATAATGACCATCTAAGTAGTCTCCCTTTTGAGGTCCTGCAACATATTGCAGGCTTTCTTGATGGCTTCAGTTTATGCCAGCTCTCACGTGTGTCCAAGTTAATGAGGGATGTGTGTGGCAGTCTGCTTCAGTCACGTGGAATGGTCATACTGCAGTGGGGGAAAAAGAAGTACCCAGAAGGAAACTCATCATGGCAGATAAAAGAAAAGGTTAGTTTAACTGTCAACCCCTTATTTAACATACAATAGGCACTTAATATTACTGCTGAATTAATGAATAGCTTGTGGAGAAATCAGCCATCCTTAAAACTTAATGACAACAAACTCTGCTTATAATAATCCATACAACATGAATACAATTAGAGTTATTTGTCATAACCACGTTTACTGCAGACATCCTAGAACTGGATTCTAATCTAATATGGCAAAGGCCACTTCTGTTTTTTTAGTTGAACAGTTCCGTACCCACTCAGTTCTCTATAACGACTTCCTCTCTTTGAATCCATGTTAACTACTTGATTTGGGCTTCATCTGAAACATTTTCAGCACAGGACAATAGAAGAAGCAAAAAGGTTTTTCTTTTTAACTAACAACTGGCATTGCCTCTGCTTCTAGTGTTTCTTTCTTAGGACTCGATTGTTTCAGGTAGAATTGATACAGGAAGAGATGAGAAAAAGCCATAACTACTATTACTATCAAGTGGACCAATGAAAATACAAATGGACGGATGGGGAATTATGTTAGGACGCATCAGATGAGCGTGTGGCAGCAGGATGTGCTGCTGCTGCTGGGGACTCTGGAGTTCACAGTGTTAGTGTGATGTCCAGAAGCCACACTGGGGTGCAGGTGGGGCCGGGAGCAAGTCCTGTTTCCACTGTTTTCCTCCTGTGGTACTGTCCATTTTCTCTTTGAGGCATGACCCAATTAGTAGACAGCAAAACGCATTAAAAATAGCTTTCATTGATGGTATCCTATCTACTCTAGGGTGCTTTTGCATTTTAAAAGATGGAAACAGTTTTCAAAAATGTTACAGTGGTTGAGTGGGGTTTGAATTTCTGGTTACTTTAGTTCTTCCCATTGCTAAGTTTCCTTATTTTTTTACTCTTACCTCCCCCCCCTGCACCCGAATTCTACTTTTACTTCTGTGTTCTCATAAGGCTTTTACTAATAAATGAACGTGCTGATTATATTAAGATCTTTTCACAAAAAGGAATTGGAATTCCGGTGGCAGAAAGTTTCTCTCTCTCTTCTCTACCCTGTTCTTCTTCTCCCCAATCCCCTCCACCCCCAGTGATTTGATATCTGGAATGGGGCAGCCTGAGCAGGGCCACTTTTGCTGTCATTTCTATGCGTGATTCCATATCCATGGGCTCTCCTCTTTTCCTCTGAACTCTACACCATTGGCTAAACCCAAATTTACTGGATATATCCGTGACTGCTTCACACATACTTAAACCTGTTGCACTGCTCTGCCCTACTTGATAATCAGTGATGTCTTATATTACCTAAACTAAGGGGGAAAAGGATCACCCTCTTTTTTTTTTTTCCTTTTAACTTCCATGTCCAGGAATTATAAAGCCCCACTGTGCTTCCCGTGTTCTGTCTCTCACACCTGCTTCGTTGTTGCCTCTCACACCTGCTTCGTTGTTGCCACTGCTGTTTCTCTAGTCCAGTCCCACCCTGTGCTCTCCTAGAGCACTACCAAGCTGAATTCCTCCTAACTGGCTTCTACGTCCAAGTGAGTCCCTCTCCAACAAACTGTACAGAGAAGCTAGACTTGATATCTATTTTCTTTTTAAAAAATTAATTATTTACGCATACAACAACTGGGGTACAGGTCAGAGGTATGAGGGGGTGGGGTGGGTGAGAGGATTCACCAGAGACAGAGTGAGGAAGAGAACAGGCAGATACACTGAAATACACTGCTGAGGGAAGCAGTGGGCGAGAAAGGACAGCTCTACTGTGCCATGTGGGTCAGCTCCCTGGTCAGGGATCGAACTCATGTTGCAGTGGCTGTGGATAGTTTGATAGTGCTGAGACTTAGCACCCTTGTGCCACCAGGGAAGCCCCTCTATCTGTTTTCTTAAAAATAATTTTTACAGTATCATTACAGTGCTATAAAACATATGTGTCCATTGCTCCAATGTAGAGATTCTTTAATGAATAAGACTTTTCATAACCTCTTGTCCTTATTTAATTTCCTCTTGTGTCTTAATATTCCAGCCAGGTTGACTTATAGTTGCCTGATGCTTTCTTTCTTGCCCTCAGGCCTTTGATAAATTCGTAATACCTACTTTTGAGCACTTGCAGTAAGCTAGACAGTGTACTAATAAAAACACTTTTGTTTCATCAACTTGTTTATTCTTCTGTCTCCACCTTATGGGTGAAGAAATTGATGGATTCCAACCTTAGAAAATTGTCTCTAGAGATGTGATCTTCCTCTCCTTGCAATATCCTGCTTACTCTTCAGAGCTTACTTCCTTAGCAGTGCTTCTGGAACCCTCAGGGGCACTGCGCTGTGTCTGTACCACACGACATGTGCCTACCCTCTATACCTCCTAAAACTCTCAGCATCTTGTTTTGAGATTCACTGATGAATTGCCAATTTCCTCCACTAGACTAAACTTTTCTTGAGAAGCAGAACTCTCTGGGACCCAAAATAACCCCTACCTAACACTGCGCCTGCATCTCATAGGCACTGAGTAAATGCTTGATGGTATGTGAATGAAAAATTTTCCCATTAATAAGAAAACTTGTCATGGGATGTGGGAGCCATCCATTTTATCCTGTTTCATCAGACTCTCAATTGTGAAGGAGGCTACTTGCCATCATTGTCTCAGCTAATGCTCCCCACTAACTCTTAACAAAAGTTCCTGAGTTTCCTCATAGTCTTGTGGGCTTAGAGAAGTGTTGGAGTGGCTACCAATTTATGTAATGTCTCTGGTGGTTATTTCTACACTGGTTCCTAAAAAAATGGCTCCATAGAGAGTAATTGATGTAACCCTAAGTAGCAAGTAACCCTTTGTGAATAATGGTGACTTCTATTGCCAGCCGAAAAATTGTGTCTCCACAGAATTTGAAGACATCTGCCCCTGGAAGTCATTATGATCCTTTCCAGAGAAGCTCTGGTGCTGAGGACTTCCCTCATGCCACGGCTGCTTGTGCCATATCTGCTGCTTACCATGTGTTCAGCCACTCCCCTGTAGATGATTCTGGGGGCCTAGTCTGCTCCTGTCCATTCATGCTCATTACCTAGGTCTGTCTCATGCATGCTTGTTACCTGTGTTTGGGCAGCTTTATGTTTTGAATTGTGAAGGTGAGTGGGGCTCACATGGTCATTGTTGGACTTACAAGGTGACAGGATTTCCAGCTGCTCAGTGGGCAAAAGGGAAAGTCCATATTTTTACCTGTAGACACATCAGCAGGGATGGCAGGTGAATGTTTTACCTAGAAATACATTTTACAGTGATAAGAAGTACAATCAGATTCATTTGCAAAAGCTCTTTGTGTATTTTCAGAAACATTTCGAACAAATTGAAAGCACCTATGTTACTGGCCGCCATTAGTACTTGTAAATAGTGGAAAGATAAGGTACTGTGGTACACTGTTTTAGAGTATTCTTTTAGTATACTTCGTAATACGTTACATATTTTGTAAAGAATGAAGAGAAATCTTGGTGATTAAATATCACATGTCAATTTCTTCAGACCCTGGGTAGATGTAAGAATAGTGTGCAATGTGTATTATTTCAGGAGATTTCTCTGAACTCAGGAGGCTATGATATTTTAAAAATTGCTTGATAAGCCAGGTTGAAGTGATGATTAATATTGGTATTTGTTTTTTATTTTCTTTTTGGTATTACATCTATTGAAGTCATAGGAATTAATGTCATAGAAATGATTTACCTGTAGATACTAACAGATTTGTATCAAATGGACTTTACTACATTTCAGGTTTGTAACTACTTGAAATTTATAGTGGCTGGTTCTCTGATAGTACAAATCTATATAGCAAAAATAAGAAGTATGTTTTAATTTTTATAACTTGATTTGTTTAAATCTGAAGTAGAGTTTTCTTTTAGGTATGGCGATTCAGTACTGCATTTTGTTCTGTTAATGAATGGAAGTTTGCTGACATCCTAAGCATGGCTGACCACTTGAAGAAGTGCAGTTACAATGTTGTAGAGAAACGGGAGGAAGCAGTCCCATTGCCCTGTATGTGTGTGACGCGGGAGCTCACTAAAGAAGGACGCTCACTTCGCTCAGTTTTAAAACCTGTACTTTAATAACTGTCACTCCACTTGCACATACATGCAAGCACCTAGCTTAATTTCTTTGTAATATGAAACACTTTATTAATGTATTAAATATTACAACAGCTAAATTTATTGTCACTATGTATATACTGTTTTGAAGTGACATATATTTTTATAAAGTACTGTTTAGTTGGAAAAAAGTTGCCTTAATGTTTGAGATGTGTGAAAATTTTGAAACTTGCTGGACAGGGTGATTTAATTTTTAGCCACATAGTAAACTGTTTCAAACTGAGTATGTTTAATGGTGTGCATATTTTGGTTCTTAATTTTTTTGCTTCTACTTAAACTTACATGATCCTGACCAATGTAAGTTTTACTTTACTTCTCATATTTTCTGTGGGTTACAACCCATGCATTCAAAAAGCAAAACTTTGATTCAGAATTTTGTCATGTAGGTTTTTCAGATAAAAAAAAATTCAGTTACTTAAGCACTGCCATAAGATCATTATAAAATTTTTATTTTCTAGTGTTCCCTCTCACAGTTGATTGTTAATACATAGATGATCTCTAATATATACTTACATTAATATATAAAATGATAACTACTGCTTGGTAATTCCATTTTATTCACAAAAATGTTTTTTGTGTGTGTCTTAGATTTCTGTAACTATACAGGAGTGACCCTCTACAATTCTCTATATGTTAAACACCATCTCCCGAAACTCATGGCAGTGGACTATATATTAGGTTAATACAAAAACAAACAAAGAAACCTGTGAGTTGACCTTAGTTTGAAATGTGGTATTATGTATTTTCTATTTGGAAAGAAGATAATAATACTTCACATTAAGTTTGAATTGAATTTATTTTCTGAGTGGGCTTCAAATATTCGAAATCCAAAGGGCTTAACTTTTTTTTATATGCATTTAAATTTTTTGCCCTTGGTGTTCATAAAAGTCACAGCTATGTTGATTTAAGGCATTTAAAATTTTAATGTGAAACTTGGTGTCTTGCTTGGTAAGATGACAATCATGAAATGCGATTGCCCATTTGAGTTGACAATCTTTTTAAAGCATTTCCAGATTAATTTCCTGTAGACTTTAACAAAAAAGTAAGAATTACACCCATGTATAAAGATAGCAGTATTACAGAAAAATATTCAAGACCTATTCTTGAAGTAGTTTATTATAGTTTTCAAATTGATGTATACTATTTCACCTAAGATTGCCAGTTAAAAAGAACGAACAGATCAGTATTTAGAAACAAATTGCAAAGTTGGGGTATGTATTAAATTTTTTTTTTTTTTTTTTTTTAAGTAACTAAGGGCATATGGTGATCTGAAGTGGTGACAGGTCACTTTGTTAGACAAATCAGAAATCCATTGTACCGTCTCATCTTGTACTGCACTTGTCCCTGCCAGTGCTCTGTTGTTCCTAGATTCTGGATTCCCATAGATGGCAATCAGCCTGGGCGGAGGCGTTCCTTGGGCATTAGAAAGGAATTCTGAACTGCTTAAGACTTGTTTTGGTTGGATCAAGTCCTTACACTGCAGTCAAAATATATAGTACTAAAAACGAGTCAGTTCTTTGGCCTCACTTGTCATTTTAGTTAGTTTTAGTTACTTATTAAGTACTTAGTTACTTAATTCTCAGTGCTTAAAATTTTTTTCAACTATGAAACTGAATCTCTGAAATAGCCTACCATTTCCTTGGAAAAGTCAGATATAAGATATCCAAAACTGTAAAATAGTTTTAAAGTTCTGCTAAAGAATGTATTTATGGTTAGGATAGCACAAGCATTCACTTTCTGTTTCATGGTTGTGCTTCTTAAAATTCTTGGTTTCTAAGTTTAGATTTGTTTGCACACTGGATCATGAGATAGTTACCATTTTTCACCTTATATTTCTTTTACACATCTTTGCCTGTTTTATTTTTTGTTTGTTATGCTACCATAATTTTTGTTTAAAATGTTTCTTTGTGCAACATTTCTTCAAATTCTAATAAAATTAATATTTTATTCTTCATATGGCTCAGTAACTTTAAAAGAAAGATTTTCATTTAAATAAAATGGTAATACTTGTCTGACAGATTCTAAGCATGGTCATATTTCTGTAGTGATTCTCTGCATGTTAGAATAGCTACTTCTTGATCATTGTTGTCGATCCATATTTTATTTTATTTTAATACAAAAATTCAGTAGTTTACTTTCTCTGCCCCTTTAATATCTTCTTGAAAGTAATCTCACCTAGGGACATTGAAAGGCTTAAGAACTCCTGGCTATATTATCTTTGCAAAACTTGGGAACCATTGATGTAGCCTTTTAAACTTGAAAAGCTTTTTATGTTGGTATAGAAAGCTGTCCCTTGAGAAGTTTTTGTTGACAGCTTTGTCTTTGCTAACCAGCAAGATAAAGGGCAAGTGTCAGGACAGAGGCAAGCACCTGAATCCATTTTCATGCTCCGCCCCCCTCCCCAGACTGCCTATTACCTTCATGTATGTCTTTCTCTTTGATTGCTTTTGGACCCACAGATCACTTATATCAGTGATTCACAGTGTGGTGGCCAGACTGTTCACCTGGAAAGTTGTCATAATGCACTTTCTAGGCTTCTCTTCAGACTTAGCTGAGTCAGAATCTCTGGAGCCAGCATCGCTTTTAATAAAAGTGATTTTGATGGACAAATTTTTGAGAACTTAAAGGAAAACTTAGGACATGCATCTATTCTCCGGAATGATGTGTTGGTGAGTGGATATGTGTGTGTGTGTATGTGTGTGTACATGTGTAATCCAAAGTTAAAAAGTAGTGGTTATCAATATTAATGGTTTAAATGTTTTCTCAATCTTACAGTCAGATACAAGTTAAATTAAGTATTATAGTTATTGAATGTTAAAAAATGAGTATTTGTTAATATATTAAATTCATTGTTGGTGGTGAATTTTATGCGTATTCTGTTCAAGGTAAATTGCAGTGCAACTTAAATTTCATTAGCACTGCCATTTAGCCTAATCATTCATTCTCTTAGTGGTTGCAAAGTCATGTGAACATAAGAGATTTTTAGAATAAGCAGGGAAGGTAGTAGTAGATGAATATAGAATTAGATTCTACAAAAGTAGTTGTAGGGATACTTTCAACCCTGTCAATTAGAATTAGAGACTGGGTGTCGGTTTATCAGTAATATAAAATCGTTTTGGTGTTCAAACCCATGCTATATTTATCACCCATGTTACTGCTATTTTAACTATCCTTTGACATCAGATATTGGGACCTAAGTAAATCTGAACAAAATGGGATTTCAAGAAAACTTCCACATCCCTTAAACATACAGTGATTTGTATTATATTGGTAACAGATATTTACCTCTGTCAATTTGCATGTCGTTATTGGTGGTTAGAAGCAAACAAATTTATCTCCATTCCATTCCAATCTAAAGAGACATGGGGTTTACTAATTTTTAATATTTTCTGAGGACTGATTATGCAAACATTAAAAAACACTTATCATGTGTATGACACATCACGTTGGAAGGTGATGTGATTGGACTCTGCAGAGGTGGGGGTTTAAATTCGAGGCAGAAAGAAAGCAATTAGTGCTCATTTTCTCAACAAGCAGAACAAAGCCTTTTGATGGGAAGACTTTTTCTGATTGGCTCATTTTCTAAATACTGCTCTATAGTCTTATTATGCTCATGAGTCCTAGGGAGCAAGAGAATATTATTCTTTTAAAGAAAACTCAGTGACACAGCCATTGTGTTTAATTCAGTGATGTGTTTTGTTAGAGTTTGCTATAAGTGCAACTTCCAAACAAAAATGGTTGAAATTTGTAAGGCGGAAAGGCCAACTTGAGTGATCTTTTTAACAGAAAAGAGAATAAGAAATTGGATATTTAGCTGTATGGACATTACTTTGGAAATTATTATTGCCTGCAATATTTGATTCCAGTGTTTTGGAAAGGGTTACTGGTAATACCAAAGAGAAACAAAGTAGAAATTAAGTATAAGTTGCTCTGAAAACCTTTCCCAAAATCTAGGGTCTTTAACTGAATTTTTGCAAGTATTTTCTTACCTCTGTGATTAAAAAAAAAATAGAAATCATATATATATGACTAATATCCACAAATTGGCCAAATAGATTTTAATATATATTAAAATGGATCAATGGAACTATACCTTACCATGTTTTTTAGAACATTTCAAAACCATATTTTGTATTAAAAATGTTTGCCATTGCAATGTGTTACATGGAGAGTGACTTCATTATTAAACTACAAAGAAATGGGTTACAAGGACACTTCATGAACACTATTGAAATACAGTAAACAATCATTAATAAGAATCTTTTGACTAAACATCCATTATTTGCCAAAGAAAGCATTTCTGAAGCAAATTAACAACATAAACCAAGGAAATGCTTTTCATTACGACTGATACAACTGAAACATTTCCCATTTCATTTTATTAACCAAAATGCATGCAAATACAAGAAATAATTCTTTTACACTTAGCTAGTTCTAAAGATGTTAGTAGTGATTTTGTGTCTAATAATAAAACTGCATTTCTGTCAGACTGTCCTTTCCCAGTAAAATCCAGTTTATTAGGTATAGTCTTTACCTTTTCTAATATAAATTGCTAGATTTCTATTTTATTTTTTTCCCAACAAAATCCTGAAACAGTAAATAGGTTAATACAAATAAATGTGTTAGCTTATTCTTTGGCAGAAGAACAGGCTAGATTTAAGTAGCTTCCTTAGACCCCATTTAATTAAAGAATAACAATATGCATGATTAGCAGCTAATAAAAAAGAACAATAATAATTTGTTACTGTTCAAAAAGGTTGTAGTTGAAAAAGATCGCTCCCTTTGCTGATCCAGCATTTTTTTATTGAAGCCTTCCTTTCCATATGGTAGTTATTGCCTTATCCCACTACTTTTTCTGACCATTTGATCAAAAACTTCCCTGCTTGTTTGATCAAAAAACCTAGATTAAGCTCATGGTGTTTTAAAAGTCTTTTCTGCCAATCAATTGATTTTTAGTCATTTTTGGCCAATAAATTTAGATTTGATTAACAATTTAGATTTGATTAAGTAACATTCAGATTAGTCTCATAGCTCATAGATAAATTAGAAGTATTGAAACATCAGCATTCAGGTTTAACCTCAATATTTTATTAAAAGAAATCAGACTATAGAAATGGAAATGATAATAGGTACTACATCTGTTCAAGACCAAAATTATACAATGAATTTTTAGTTATGCTAACTGGATGTCTTTATATGAAATATACCTTTTTAAAATTATTCCTGTGTTAAAAATTTCAAATAGGGTAGACCATGATGTTGATACTCCACAACATTCCAGTTACTTTGAGATAAAACCTTAGCACAAATTGCTTTACATGGTTAATAATTCAGTGGACATGAATTCTGTGCTGCATTGGAATATAAAGTTGCTTTGTTCATTTGGTCAGTTTTAAGCACCAATCAGTCTTGAAAACTTGAACTCCATTCTGAAAGGTAATTGCACTGGCTGACTTACCTCAGATATTATTTGACTTTCAGTGTATCTTCCTTTGCTCATTATTTACATTAATAGTTGACTATGCCTTGAATGCAAGAAGGTATGGTACTTCTTGAAACATACAAGTAAAAGAAGCTAGAAACAAATACCACATATTGTATAGTACCATTTCTATGAGATATACACAGTAAACAAATCCATAGAGACGGAAATCAAATTAATTGTTAGAAGTTGGGAGTAGGGAATAATGGAAGTGAGGAAACCTAATGAACACTGGTTTCCTCTTGTTGAGATGAAAATAGAACGAGAGTGGCAATGATTGCACTAAATTACTAAATTGCATACTTTAAAATGGCTAGGAACTTGGGGTTTCTCAAGGTGTGCAAAAGCCTGAGCTATGAAATTTAGAATTAGAGTGCTGATAGTGGGATAAATGTACTCAGTTTAAAGTTTTAGTGGATTTCATGCATCCCATCACAACAGAACTGGTGGCAGCAGCAAAATGAAGTGTGTTTCGTCACAATTTATTTATATTTAACATATCTGTGACAGGGAGCAATTGGTTTCCATATCAGTGTTCATTTTCCACCTTTTCCACTGTATTTTGAGTGGCACATCTTCAGATCTTTTTAAAGGTCTAT